TAATTTTGCTGGGTGTGGTGTCACACGTCTTTAATTCTGAGCACTTGCGAGGCAGGGGCAGGTGGATGTCTGTGAGTTTGAGGGAACCTGCTCTACATAGCGAGTTTCAGGACAGCCAGGACTACATAGTGGGGAACTCTGTCTCCATAAAACAGGAAAAAAGAAAAAAAAAATGTGATTTTGCTGTGTTACTATGTAATTTCATTATTAGTGTTCTTTGAGTTATTTCTGATTTTTTTCCATGTCAGACTAAGGAGCTTCTTTTAGCATTTCTTTTTAAAATTATTTTTATTTTTAATTTTGTGCATGTGTGTGTGCATGTATGCACTATCACAAGTGAGTCCAGGTGCCCAGAGTTATAGGTGGTTTTGAGCTATCTGACTTGGGTGCTAGAAACTGAACTTGGGTCATCTGCAAGAGCAGTATATTTTCTGAACTGAAAGCATCCCTTCAGCTCCTGTTAGCATTTCTTTCCTGCTTGCTTAAAAATATTTTGCTTTTTTTACGGGTATGTGTGTGTGCCTCATGTATATGCATTGCCAAACTCTGTGGAGGTCAAAAGAGGGTATTTCATTCCCTGGAACTGTAGTTATAGATGGTTGTGAGGTAGGAATTGAACCTGGGTCTTCTGCAAGAGTAGTAAGTGCTCTCACCTGTGAACCAGCAGCTTTGTTAGCATTTCTTGTGGGGCAGGTTTGTTAGCAAGGTTTTATCTGGGAATCATTTGATAATTTTAATGGGTATAAAGTTCATGGTTGACTGAATTTCTCATTTTAGCTTCCATAGTTTCTAAAGAGTAATAAGTTGTAATATTATTGAGGATTGCCTGTGTGAAGAGTTGCTTGTCATTTGTTGCCTCCTGGATTCTTTTTTTGGATTTTGACAGTTTAATTAATTATATTCATGTGACCTAAGTTGTCATACTATTTTTAATTAATTAATTAATTTTACATCTAATCACAGAGATCCAGGCACCTCCCCTCCCACAAACCCTCCTTGTTATCTAGTCTCTGAGTCTGTGGATTGTAGCATAGTTATCCTTTATTTGACAGCTATATCCACTTATGAGTGAGTACATACCATGCTTGACTTTCTAGGTTTGGGTTACTTCATTCAGGATGATTTTTTTCTAGTTCCATCCATTTTCCCTTCAAATTTCCTGGTGTCCTTGTTTTTAACATCTGAATAGTATGCCATTGTGTAAATGTACCACATGTTCTTTATTCATTCCTTGGTTGAGGGACATCTAGGCTATCCATCTATTACAATAAAGCTGCTATGAACATAGTTGAGCAAATGTCCTTGTGGGATGATTGAGCATCTTTTGGGTATATGCCCAAGAATGGTGTAGCTGGATCTTGTGATAGATTGATCCCGTTTTCTAAAAAACTGCCACAATGATTCCAAAGTGGCTGTGTAAGTTTGCATTCCAACCAGCAGTGGAGGAGTGTTCCCCTTACATCCTTTCCAGAATGAGCTGTCATTGTTTTTGATCTTAGCCATTCTGACAGGTGTAAGATGGAATTTCAGAGTCATTTTGATTTGCATTTCCCTGATAGCCAAGGATGTTGAACCTCTCCTTAAGTGTTTGTCAACCATTTGAGATTCTTCTATTGAGATTTTCCTATTTAGATCTGTACCCCATTTTTTAATTGGATTATTTGGGTTGTTGATGTCTATTTTGTTGAGTTCTTTATGTATTTTTGGAAATTAGCCCTCTGTCAAATGTGGAGTTGAAGATATTTTCCCATTCTGTAAACTGCTTTGTCCTATTGATGGTGTCCTTTGCCTTATAGAAACTTCATGAGGTTTCCTTGATTAAATGTTGATCTTAGTGTCTGCACTATTGGTGTCCTGTTCAGGAAGTTGTCTCTGAGATGGCTCAGCCATTAAAGGCTAGGCTCACAACCAAAAAATTTGTCACTATTAAAGCCTCTATGAGCATGTTGTTACTCAGTTTTTCCTTTCTATTATTCTGGGTATTATATTGTTGGTCCCACTGGTATGTTCTACCTCAGTTTTCTGCCAGAATTGTTAGGATATGTGTTTCCCTATTTGGCAAATCAAAGACAAGAACCCCAGCCAGATAAGACAATGTTTTTTCTAAGTTGCTGACTTCTAGAACTATAAGATAATAAATTTGTGTTATGTAACTCACTAAGTATGTGATAACTTATAATAATAGTAGTACACACACACACACACACACACACACACACACAATTTGGCAGGCATTTTGCTGGATTCAGAAACTGACATTCAGTCATCACAAAAGTCTGCTTAGGATTAGTGATAGAGCTAGCATTTAAATACAGATATTCAAACTTCAACTCACTGTGCTGTTTTTCTAGTCCATTTCTTTTGTCACTGCTCAAAAAATGATTCTCTAGTGGTCACAGTAATTAATTCTCTAGGGGAATTTTTAAACTGTAATAAGATTTCCCTTTGAGTTGCTAAGTCTTATGTGTTTAAATCTTGACTGGACTTTTAAGCAACAATTATTGTCATAGTAGTTTATTATGAATAACATCCTGGCCTGAAATTGTTTGTTGATACTTTACTTTCTCATAACCTTCTACCAATACCAAGATGGGAAGCAGGAAGACATTATAATACAGAAGTAAATTATAACTATTTAATGAATTAAATATTACTTGCCAAAGACCTCCTGCATGCTTATTTATTAAGCCCTTCCTTCTTTCCTTCTTTCCTTCTTTCCTTCATTCCTACTTTCCTTCCTTCCTTCCTTCCTTCTTTCCTTCCTTCCTTCCTTCCTTCCTTCCTTCCATGTTCTTTTGTCAGGGGTATCCAGGGCTGCTATTGATTCACTAGGATGGATTATAGGATTTGAAACTCACTACCATCAGGGTTATGGTTTATTACAGTAAAAAGAATAGAAAGCAATATCATAGAGTCCAGAGGAAGCCAAATATAAGTTCCTGCTGATATTTTCACAATGGAGTTATATATTTCTAGCAAGAAATTGTGATGATCTATAAAATTGTCTACTAGGAACCGTGTCTATTAGGACATGGTTGAGCTTAAGCCAGTGTGCGTACTGGAGGTTGATCATATAGGCAGTAGTACCATATGACTGAGATTCCCCAGACTTCAGATCCCTAGAGAGAAAGCACATCTTCACTAGAAATCACATTAGTTACAAGCTACCTAGAGAAACTGGTAAAGTTTATTTCAAGGCCCTGAGCATGAAAAGGTATAATAACATTTACAATATTTCATATTATCAATTCTCAGGAGATGGCTAAGGCTGAGCCATGAAGCAAGCCAGTTTGGTAATGTGCATGGCTTGAGTAGCTCAGCCCTTCATAGTTATTTTTTTCCTGTAAATGTTCCTTTTCATGTAAAAGTACTCAGTGATTTTAGTAGTGTTATTATATACTTTGTTTTATAGTTATCAATTTTTTACTTTTGTCTATTCTCTTATGAAATTTTTTGGCTTACATGTCTTTACTTGAAAATGAAATATACTCTAGCCTTTTCTATAGTATGAATAATGAATTTCACCAGTGAATCTTGAGGTCTTTATGTACTCACAGCTCCTCTGCTTCTGTTTCAGAGTGGATGAGAAATGTTGAAAGCAAAGCATTGGTTCCAGCACAGAGTGTTTTCGAGGAAGAACAATCCAATGGAATGGCATTACAAAGATATATATGGAATGACCCTTGGCTCTCCAGGCTAGGAGTTTTGGGATGTAAAGACCAATTAGAAATGTATCATATGAATCAGAGTACAGGTATGAGGCAAATGGTCTTCATGCAAAAACAAGTACTTTCTCAAAGAGGTTCTGAATTCTGTGATCTTGGCACAGAGTACAGCCAAAGCTTAAACTTGGTTCCATCTCAGAGAATTCCTCAGTTAGAACATTTCTATAAACCTGATGCACATCTTGAAAGTTGGAGATGTAATTCAGCTATAATGTATGCAGATAAAGTTACCTGTGTAAATAATGATTATGACAAAGCCTTCTGCCAGTCTCTTCAGCCTGTTTACCCCGTCGGAATGCAAACTGGAGATCATCTGTTCAAATGTACTGATGCTGTGAAGTCTTTCAATCATATTATACATTTTGGCAATCATAAAGCAGTACATACAGGAGAAAAACTCTATGAATATAAGGAATGCCATCAAATCTTTAACCAGAGCCCATCAGTTACTGAACACCCAAGACTTCAAATTGGAGGAAACCAGTATGACTATAAAGAGTATGAGAATATCTTCTACTTCTCATCTTTTATGGAACATCAAAAAATTGGTAGTGTAGAGAAAGCATATAAATACAATGAATGGGAGAAAGTCTTTGGGTATGACTCATTACTTGCTCAACATACAAGCACTTATACTGCAGAGAAGCCCTATGAATATAACAAATGTGGAACATCTTTTATTTGGAGCTCTTACCTTATTCAGCATAAGAAAACTCATACTGGAGAGAAACCCTATGAATGTGAGAAATGTGGAAAAGTTTTTAGGAATCGCTCAGCCCTTACTAAACATGAACGGACTCACACTGGAATAAAACCCTATGAATGTAACAAATGTGGGAAAGCCTTCAGTTGGAATTCTCATCTTATTGTACACACAAGAATCCATACAGGAGAAAAACCTTACGTTTGTAATGAATGTGGGAAATCTTTCAACTGGAACTCCCATCTTATTGGACATCAGAGAACTCATACTGGAGAGAAACCTTTTGAGTGTACTGAATGTGGGAAGTCTTTTAGCTGGAGTTCCCATCTTATTGCCCATATGCGAATGCATACTGGAGAGAAACCCTTTAAATGTGATGAATGTGAAAAAGCTTTTAGGGATTATTCAGCCCTTAGTAAACATGAAAGAACTCACTCTGGAGCAAAACCATATAAATGTACTGAGTGTGGAAAGTCCTTCAGTTGGAGTTCGCATCTTATTGCTCACCAGAGAACTCACACGGGAGAGAAACCTTATAACTGTCAAGAATGTGGCAAAGCTTTCAGAGAACGCTCAGCCCTTACTAAACATGAAATTATTCATTCTGGAATTAAGCCCTATGAATGTAATAAATGTGGGAAATCTTGTAGCCAGATGGCTCATCTTGTTAGGCATCAAAGGACTCATACTGGAGAAAAACCCTATGAATGCAATAAATGTGGAAAATCCTTTAGTCAGAGCTGTCACCTTGTTGCCCACCGGAGAATTCACACTGGTGAGAAACCCTATAAATGTAATCAATGTGAAAGGTCCTTTAATTGTAGCTCTCACCTCATTGCACACCGGAGAACTCATACTGGAGAGAAACCATACAGGTGTAATGAATGTGGGAAGGCATTTAATGAGAGTTCTTCCCTTATTGTACACTTAAGAAACCATACTGGAGAGAAACCCTACAAATGTAATCACTGTGAAAAAGCTTTCTGTAAGAATTCTTCTCTGATTATCCATCAGAGAATGCATAGTGGAGAGAAACGCTTTATATGCAATCAGTGTGGAAGAGCCTTTAGTGGTCATTCAGCCTTACTTCAGCATCAGAGAAATCATAGTGAAGAGAAATTGTAACTGAATTGGTCAGAGACATTTCTTTTACTGTGTTTGACAACATACAATAAAAACATGCAACATTGGGAGGAGATAAAAAGCCTATAAGTATTACCAACAAGGAAAATTTTCACTAAGAATTCAGTAAGACTGTCTTTATTGTTATACGACAGGAAATCTCTTCCTGGAAGAAACCTTATGAGTGACATGAGTGAAAAGACTAGGGAAAACCTTTCGGCAGTTATGTAACCCCTATGCAGTGTCAGAAAATTATAGATAAAAGCTCTTAAGCTTCTTATATGGTCCACAAGGAATCCATATTTGAGGAACATGATTGGGGGAATGAGACATTCTAACAAGAGTTCTTATTTGTAGATCAGTGTGCATTATTTAGGGCAAAGTCTTATGCCAAGAATAGTGTTTTGACTGGAAAGATTCTGCCTAGAATGTTAGATGGAAAGCTTTACGTTAACATTTTGTGCATAATTATAGAAACAGATTTTGCTATTACAAAGGGAGGGTCTAGGTACTCTTTAAGGGATAGAATGTGGAATAGTAAATCTGAATCTAAGAAAAAAACTAGTGCAGTATTGAGTAGAATATTTACTGTTGATCAAGGTTAACCTCTTTAGAAAAAAGGAGGTCACTAATGATAGAAGATAGAAAGGCTGTTGCCTAGAAAGATGAGACTGAGTTTTGAAATAGAAAGTATTTAGCTAATAATCTAATGTGTCAGTGTCCATTGGTACTTATCAATGAATTGTTGGGCAGTTAGTTTATAATTCTTTTAGGCAATCACTATAAATTGTGGACACTGGCAATGTATGTAACAGAGTGAACAACCATAAGAAGGACCCAATTGTATATAAATATCTATTGTAACATCAAAAAAAGTGTGTTTGGAGAAAGACCTCTTAGATCTATGGAGAAATTAATCCAGTTAATTTGTTTTTTATTTATTTATTTTTAGTTTAGTTTTTGTTTTTGTTTTACAAATACATAAGCACTTACAATGTGCTAGGCTTCATTTTAAATGCTTTTAAAAAATATTAACTTGTTCAATTCCCTTAATTCTATAAAGTAGGCATTGTTGCTATCCCAGTTTTACAAATGGATAAGTAGAAGCAGAGATATTGAGTAACTTACCCAAGGGACACATCTAGTAAGGAGTACAGTTGAGATTGTTTGACTCTAGAGTTTGTGTTTTTAACCACTGTGTTTTCTCACTCACTTTTGTTCAGTGTTTTTATAAAGATTTAATAATAAAATTCAAGAAAATTCTAAGTAATGAAAAGTGAAGTTTCCTGGTTCCTGTGTCCTGAGGGAATTTCGCTAACATGTGAACCCAGATTTCTTTGGAATATGAACAACTCTGAGAAGGATATAGGACACCACTGGATCCTGGGTTCCATAGAATTCCATGGCTCACAGCTTTGAGGGTTACAGACAGCAGGGCATTGTGAACTTGAGTACTTGTAAGGACTGTCCCATGTGGGTTCAGAAATTCTCCTGATAAAGCAGAAGCAAGGCTATTTGTTCTTTGACATGTTGGAAATTAGCGCCCATTAGGACACCAGTTTTCAAGGTTTCCTCTGAGTTCATTGTTAGCCTTTTCCTTATCTTCTCTGCATGAAAAGATTGCTTGATAGGAGGGAGGATTCGGGAAGAGAGTTCTGCCTGAGTCCATCACCGGTGGTGAGGAAGTTCCTTTAAAGGAGAAAAGGAGCACATGGAATTCAAGGACTCAGGCAAGGATCATTTCTGGATATGCTTCAAAGGTATTGGGTAGAAATTTGCAGCACATAAGATTCATCTAGCCCTCAAGGGTCCAGGACTTCCTAGTGGTGAGACGTAGTGTTAAAATTCTGTGTTCACTTCTGACTCTTACAGCTTTAGGCAACTTGGGATGTAACATTTAGTGCTCTCCTTTGCAGGATTTGATAGTCTCTTAATAAATATCATAGGAAAAAGTAACTGATGGCTTTTATTGTGATTTTTGCAATGACTCTTGGAGAAAATAGTAATATGGCCTATGTAAGAGAGTGAAAAAATGTATTTAGAATCATACTGTCAAAACGATATGAATCTTGCATTTTAATATCCCAAAGAAGCCCCATTTCTCAGATTTCTAGATTCCCAAGGAGTTCCATATATTGTATGCAACAGTCCATAAGCACTCTGGCATCTTATTTTATAACCTTATTAGCAAGCAGTATTATCTCATAAAAGTGTTTTTAAATGGGCCTTCCATGGTGAGTCTACACTAGGAGTCTAAAGAAAGTTCTAGGGCTAAGAGTGTAGTACAGGATGGAGGACTTGCTTAGCTTGTGCAGGGGCAAGGTCTAGGTTTTAATCTCCAGTACCTCCTTCAAAGTTCCCAGACTACTGTCCCACCTCCTGGAAGGAGTCTCTATCACTTCTTATGTATGCTTACATGACACTGGAGAGTCAGGACTATTTGTGGTAGTTTGTCCAGCACTCCTAGGATCCCTTTTATTATCTTGATTCCAGGTTATTTATAAGGTTCAGATCACTGCCCTTCTGACTTGTCTTCCATTCCTCCCCAACTCAAACCTGCCCAGTCCACTTCCATTCAGTTATGTGAATTGCTGCTTCAACTTCCTACCTACAGGTCTCAACTGTGCCCATTGTGTCCTGTCCAAGGTGACTGCTTTTTTCCTCTTACTTTCCCTCATGTAGACTGCTCTCTGTCCCTTCCCTCTGAAACACAGCTTTGACTCATTGTTTCTAGCTATAGTCTTACACTTTGGGCTTATCATCTGCAAATCTTAATGTGTTCTTTTTCTGCCTCTGCCTCTACATTATTTTGTATCACACTTATTTCTGATTCTAACACATTTTGATAAATCCATGTTCTGATCTTGAAATTCTGGTTGCTGCCACTGACATTTATGCCCTCCATCTCCCACAGTGCTTTCATTGTTGTTCTGGGAACCCTCTACCTTGTGATGAAATATCCCTTACTGTTCTTATTGACTGTTGTTTTAGCGTCCCATTGATGTGACAAAATACCCAAGGAAAAGGCAGACAGGTTTATGTTGGCTGATGGTTTCAGTCTATGGTCACTTGAGACTCAAGGTGTCATTTGATAAAAACCTGAACATTTGACTCCTATTGGATGCTATGCTGTGGAGGTGGTAAAAGGGAGGTGAGCCTAAGGGGAAGAATGAGAAAGGTAGGGACAGAAATGAGATGAAGGGCTTGGCAGCAAAAGAGAATGAGGAACAAATGGACAGGGAAGGTCGAGTTGTGTGGGGACTCGACCATCCTTGAACACAGTTAACCTGGAGATGATTCCTTCACGAGTTTCTTCCTCCCAGCACCGCCTTTGCCCTCTTCCCCACTGGACTTTGTTGGTCCCAGCTTTCCCACCACAGTCACTCCAGCTAGACTAGTCTTTTAGCAATAACACTTCACAAGGAAGGTGGTTTTTCATCAGTGTTGGGACAGATAAGACTTTTCCTCTCATCTGGTCAGCTGAGCCAGAGCACCTACTAGGTGTATATGTTGTGAGACATGGAACATGGTCATCATTAAATATCATCCTTGCCATGGAAAACTTGGTAAAGGAAATACTAAGTGTGAAAAAGTGAGTGATGCCACCAAGCCTGATGACTTGAGGTCAGTATCTGGGATTGGTATGGTGGAAGAAGAATTGACTCACACAAGTTGTCCTCTGACCTTCAAATATATGCAGACATACCAATTCAAAAATTAAAGGTAAGTAATGAGTTCTCTGAAGGGAAATACAGTGAATAGTGTATATTAAAGATACAGTACCAGGGTCAGGAGAGAAGCATTCACATGGAGAAAGATGAGATTCTATAGGATGACTGACTAGGCAAGAAAGGAGTTGGCAGAGCCGGTGAAGTGGAAACGTAGCAACTGGTGACCTTCCACATATGACACAAAAGGCTGGCATCATTCATGGGGGCAGAATATTAGGAGTGTTGCATATCATTGGAATCAAGAATCATGTGAAAGCAATGAGAGTAAATTTGAGGTGAGGTTGAACCCTGAACAGGTTTGACTTGTCCTCAAAACAAAAGGGCTCTGCAGAAAACACTTAAACCTGAATATATAAAGATGTGTCTCTCATCACTCCAAGATGAATGCCCCACAACATTTGATGAGATGACTGGAAATACCTTCAAGCTGGTGAAAGACAGTAAATCAACTATGGAAAGCAATGACTAAAAGTTGGATCATAGCAAAGAACCAGAGCAATAAAAGTCAGAAGAAGGTGACCATATTCCCTTGTAGGCAGGATGTGGAGTCATGGATGATTGTGAGCTACTTTGTAGGAGCTGGAGACAAAACTCAGGTCCTCTGGAAGAGCAGAAAATGTTCTTAATTTCTAAGCAACCACTCTAGTCCCAACTGATTCATTAGGAATGTCCTTCAGAATTTCCAGGTATGGTGTCTGTCTCATAATCCTACTCTTCCAGAAGGTTGAGGCAGGATAATCTCAAATAGAAAATTCTGCCTTGGGAAAGAATACCTTTCTGGAAATGAGGAAATATCCAGGTGAACTAAAGGGGATCTCTACTGAAATAAATTGAGATGATTCTTCAGGAAGAAGGAAGACAGAAACATGCAAATGCAGGAGACAGCGAAGAGAAAATATGTACACTTTCACTCTGAGTGATCAAATATTTGGTTGGGCTACCCTTCCCCCTCTCATTTGGGCCCCAGCTCTAAGGTATTTTGGCAATCCTCTCTGATTTTCTAGCCAATTCACTTTTATCTCATTGTCATGCTTAAAAATTGTTTCATAGTACAAGCTGCCATGTAACATGCCTTTTATTTTTGGTTCTTTATTGCTGGCTCTCTTCCTCTATTAATAGCATACAAGGTTGTGAACTCCTATGAGAGTTGAGGCTTTCTTAGCCCTGTGCTCTGTTAGCCAGCATAACAGCTATTATGCTGTGTGGGTGTTTGGTGGCATACCATAGCATAAGTAGATTGTTTGGTTAGCGTTTGTAATTCTAGGGATCAAACCCAGAGCCATTAGGGTGGTAAATGTTCTACCACCTAGCTACACTCCCAGTTTGCACTGAATTCTTGACTAGGTTTTGTGCAACCTGAACTCATTAGATCAAAACTCATGATTTTGCCCTGTCTGCTCCTGTTGCCTATGGGGAGGAGAAAGTAGGGTTGAATGTAAAGCAGGGCCACAGGAAGAGGAGGTTGCAATTTTAGACAGATGTTCAAATGGTGGAAGGATTAAGTAGTCACTTCAGAGGAGAAGCAAATTACCTTGGCCTTGCAGACAGATGTGAGAAGTAGAAGTGAAACATGGGCAGTGTATGTGGGGTTTCCTCAGTTGCATGGTCTTCAGTCTGTGAGGGCTAGAGAACCTTGGATTCTGAAGATACTCTTTTACCCTGGCAACCACCCTGCCTTGTGACATCACACAGAGAAAAACTTTATGCAGGTAGAATAGACAGCAGTCATAAGGGAGCATCTGCTCTCTGGTGCACCCTTCTTGGAGGAGATTGGAGGAAGGTTTGTGCCACAAAGAGGAAGGGTCTGTGCAGCAGAATTGGGTGCCTGTGCAGATATTCTATCCAAATTATAAAACAAGCCAAAACCATCAGTTCTGTTTTTCTGAGCTATGAAGGATTGTAATGTTTAACTCACTAACCCTGTGAACTAGGTACTATTTTTTTTCTAGGATTTACACATGAGCAAACTGAAGCTGAGGGGATTTAAGTGAATTGATGAAACTCAAAAATTTAGCTTTAGAGTGCCTTGGGGTATCTACAGGTAGGGAGGTCATAGGCCTTAGTGGGGAACCTATTATAATTCTTTTACTAAATGGGCATGTCAAAATCTCTTCTTATATCCATATTTTTATATCTTTGTATTAGTGTACTCTCAGCTTTTATCAAAGAAGCTTATACAAGCAAGGGTTAATGCAGAGACTCATAACTTGTCAAAGTACTGAGAATAAGTAATGGTGGAATGTTTAGTCCTAAATGGAATATCTATATCACTTCCTCCAAGGCTCAAGAAGCATCATAGAAGACAAATGGAAAGAATCTAAAAGTTTGAGGATGGGGAAGTATGTTTTGAAAGGATGTCTTCTGGACATAACATGGTCATTATACTCATGAATTCACAGTGTCTATGATTACCCATACAGGACCCACACAGGATTGGGTCTGAGGGCATTTCATCATTGACTGGGGGAGAGACTCATGAGGTTCTACTCCTTCCTGAAGAGCTAGAGGCAGTGAGTGGCTCCTTTGTATATGTGTAGAGTTGTGTTGGTTGGTTTTTGTCAACTTGGCAAAAACTTAGGTATATTTGGGAAGAGAGAATCTTAGCTGAGAAAATATGTAAGATTGGCTTGTAGGCAAGTCTGCAGCATTTCTTTTGATTAATGATTGATGTGGGAGGGCCCAACTCACTACTGATGGTGTTAGCCATGGACAGGTGGTCCTGGATACTATAAGAAAGCAGGCTGAACAACTCATGTGGAACAAAGTTAGTAAGCAACATTCCTATATGGCTTCTGGTCCAATTTCTGCCTCCAGATTCCTGTGTTGAGGTCCTGCCATGTCTTCCCTGTCAGTCGTTATTGATGATGATATTATATACTTAGGGCACAGGACTTGAATGATTCAAGCTGTATAATCCAAAAGCTCCCTTCCTGAGGTCTAGCTTCCAATACTTCCAGAAAGGATTATGCAAGCTACCAAGGGAGGGAAACAATTAATGGTCTTTTCTTCACTTACTAGCTGTGATACCTATGAACCACAACAATGGTCAGCATGGCAAGATATCCATAAAGGTGCAATAGTGGCCCTCACATGTTGGTAGTAACAAATAGATGTCTAATCAGAATTAAAGCTGATTAGACACTCAACAGGAAGGAAAACATGTCTGGTACTAGAATTCTAGCCAACTACCTGGGGCTAGTGAGGTCATGCATCTTAGATATACTACTGCCATTTTGCTAGGTCAACATAATTCCTAACTACATTCTAAATATTGACCTTATACCCATAGATGATTGTAGTTATCACCTCGACTCAAGGAAGATTTTCTTTACAGCCAATAAAGCCCATTACAGAAAACCACAACTGGACACACTGCAGAGATCAATGAATGGTGAGGATTCCAGTTCCAGTAGATACATCTATACCACAGTCCCTGCATCTATGGCTCAGGAAAAATCACAGAATTGGAGCAGAGAATTTGTAACAGGAAAGATATCAAGAAGCCTGCTGTGAGATCATCTCTCCTAGAAATGATAAAAAACATAACAAGACCTGAACAATGGTATTATCAATAGACACACTGACAAGGAAGAGAGAAAATCTCACAGGATCCTGTCCCTAGACAAAGAGCTATAGGCAGCTAATGACTGCTGAGAGAAGGAGAATTAGCCAGGGATGAGCCCCTTAACTGTTTTTATCTGATTCATCTAGCATAGTTCCAGGGACAGATCTGATTGTCATCAGTGAGGGAGTGAAGAAAAGACAGACAGATACAGGGACATGCAGGAAAGCTGGCTTTGGCATTGGCATCCTCTGCTCTTTGCTGGAGACACCTCAGCACCCTGGAAGCTAAGTGTGCTTATTATGTGGAGTTGAAATGAGAGGTAGTGTTACTGCATACAGCTGAACAAGGAGGAGGCACGACTATCATATACGGTTTTGGAGGCAGGGTTTGTGTTATATGAATGGATCAAAGAGACAGATTTTTCTGATCTTGGTAGGATCAGTCTCTGGAGGAGAGCAGTCTTCAGGTCATAAACATCTGAGTGAAGAAAGCTTTGGCAGACATTTTTCTGCATACACAGTCAACATCCACACTTGGACCACAGGAATGCTTTGCCATGTCTTTGAGCCTCACCTTCCTGGGCAGGGGTTGTGTGTGTTGAGGGGAGGGGGCTTGCCATTCCTCAATAGGTTTAAGGCTCTGAGGTCCTTGAAATGGGCATGCCTATGTCAAGAGCATATATTCATTCACTCAGGTCTTCACTAACTTAGGGCTTTCTTCTCTCCCTACAGTTATCTAATACAAGGTGGTCAGCCCCATTGTATGATCATAAACACAATAAAACAGACTGAACAAGTTGTACTTGTATATTGGTCTCTCTCTATTGTCTGTCTGTCTATCTATCATCTATCTATCTATCTATCTATCTATCTATCTATCTATCTATCTATCTATCTATCTATCTATCTATCATCTGTCATCTCTGTCTATCATCTATTTATCATCTGTCATCTCTATCTATCTATCTATCTATCTGTCTGTCTATCTATCATTTATCACCTGTCATCTCTATCATCTATTTATCATCTGTCATATCTATCTATCTATCTATCTATCTATCTATCTATCTATCTATCTATCATGTGTATAACATGTATGTACATATATATGCAACAGTAATACATTATACATAACAAGAAAACAGAATATCAGTTTGAGGGTGGTGGGACATGGGAGGAAAGAAAGGGCAGGGGAAAGTGATATAATTATATTTTAATTTAAAAATGTATTAAGTTTAAAAAAGAGGGTTGGCACAATTATGATCAAAGTATATTATATATTTGTGTATTTACATATTATATAGTTCTGTAAGTATAAGAATTTGTGAATGAATAAATAAAAAATAAGGTTTAGAATTGAGACTTTTTTTTTTCAAAATGTGAGCCTCGACTACAATACAGTCTACTGCTTTCTAGCAGCCTTCTAGGTTTTATTGTTGTGATTTATTTTGAGACAAGGTTTCATGCAGCCCAGGCTGGCCTTGAACTTTCTAACTTGTTATATAGCTGAGGATGACCTCAAACTGCTGAACCTTCCACCTGTACCCCCTAAGTGCTGGGATTATACATGTGTGGCATGGCAGCTAGCATCTGTCACTTTCTTATGATTTATCACACTGAATCAAGACTCTTGACCACCTCCTCCCTAATCTGCAATCTCCCTGAAGGTAGGAGCCTGGTCTCTTTCCTGTCTGCCTTACCATAGGACACCTGGCTCAATTAGTCAGTCTCCTTGGCTGCTCTGGTTCTAGGAAGGAATTCCAGGGCCACATGGTAAGCTGACCTCATACTGAGCTCTAAATCAGAACCCAAACATTCCATGAGCGGCAGAGTGTCTCACTGCTCCAGTTGCTGGGCTGTTAGATAAGTATTTCTTTCTCATGTATGAAAAAGAACTGGTAATTTTAGAATAATGAACAAGGTTCAGAGTTCTATGTTTTTATTTTGGTGTTTATTGGAATGCCTACTTCATGTCTGCTTACCTTATGTAGATGAGCTTTATCCTTTTGGGAAAGCAGCAGGCTTACCAGGTAGCTTCAGCAATGACCTTTCTCATTTCAGGGGGACTAAAGACTTGTTTCTAGGGAAATAAAAGGAAGTTAATTACATTTCACTGCTACAAGTTTTCTTTTCAAGGGAGTGTACAGTTACCAACACCAAAAGCGCCTGTGGAAAAACCTGGAGGCCCCAGTTCAATAGCTCGAGAAAACGCGATAACCGTAACGCCTACAAGTAAGTCATTGCCTTACTTATTGAGGTGAGGATAAGAACTGGATGGTGTGTGTGTGTGTGTGTGTGTGTGTGTGTGTGTGTGT